GGGACCTGGTGGTTAAGGCTCATTTTTTAACAGGATGCACCCTGCTAATGGGTGCTTTGTGGTTTTAAAGAGTACTTTTGTCTCTCTTTGAATTATGTTCCAGTGAAAGGCTGAGTCTTTGTCTATTATGTCATTCATTCATTCACTCACTCACCCACCCACCCACCACACACCTGTTGAGCAAGTGAGGATGCTGGGGCAACGCACACAGACGTGCTTATTTCTAGACCCGGCTGACGGACTGCGCACTCCACCTGTGGGTCGCAGTGGTTTCCAGCGTGGTTAACAGTCCAGGTGTTGTCCCAGTCGGCTGACAACATGTTCCCAAAACGGGTGAGCATCCTTCACTTTGCTAAAGGATTCACTGCAGGATTAAGTAAAGCCAGGGAATTTTAGAATCAGAAGGGGCCTTGGGGACTGGCTCATTCAATCCCTTCACTCGTTTAGTGGCAGAAAGGGAGATTTAAAAGGTTTAGGAGACTTGCTTAGAGATATTCATCAATGCCAGAGCCAGCGCTCACAGCCCACACTGCTTTTTCATTCTTGGCACTGGTCTCTTTCTTGCATGATGCAGACATACTCCAAGGGTGATGACAATGGTAACAAGACCAGTATGTACTGAATGCTTTCTCTATGCCAGACAGGGTTCTAAGAGCTTTATAGACAAAGGTACTTCAAAAAGTTCATGGAAAAATGGAATGAAAAGGTCAAAATTTTATTTTGGTGCAAAAAAATTAAAATTCATACCTATAAGGGGTCTTCATGTCTACCTTGAAAAGGGGGCTGGCATCATGCAGTAATGGATTAAGCTGCCACTTGGGACGCCAGCATCCCACATCAGAGCCCTAGTTCAAGTCCCAGCTCATCTGCATCCAATCCAGCTCCCTGCTAATGTGCCTATGAAAGCAGCAGAAGATGGCAAAAGTCCTTGGGCCCCTGCACCCATGTATGGGACCCAGATAGAGTTCCTGGCTCCTGGCTATTGGCAGCTTTTTGGGGAGTGAACCAACAGATGGAAAATCTTTGTCTGTTCCCCTTCCCCATGCCCCCAAGCCACTGTACCTTTAATAAAACAAATCTTTAAGGATTTTTTTTTTGACAGGCAGAGTGGACACTGAGAGAGAGAGAGAGAGAGAGAGAGAGAGAGAGGTCTTCCTTTGCTGTTGGTTCACCCTCCAATGGCCGCCGCGGCTGGCGCACTGCACTGATCCGAAGGCAGGAGCCAGGTGCTTCTCCTGGTCTCCCATGGGGTGCAGGGCCCAAGCACTTGGGCCATCCTTCACTGCACTCCCGGGCCATAGCAGAGAGCTGGCCTGGAAGAGGGGCAACCGGGACAGAATCTGGCGCCCTGACCGGGACTAGAACCCGGAGTGCTGGTGCTGCAGGCGGAGAATTAGCCTATTGAGCCGCGGTGCTGGCCTAAGGATATTTTTTCTGCACCAAAATAAAATTTTCAAGTCCATTTTTCTTAAATTTTCAAAATACTAAAAAGTTACATTTGACAGGCCGACAAAGCAGGAGCCTCCTGTGCTGGTTCACTTCCCAAGTGCTGCAACCGTTGGGGCTAGACTGGGCGGTAGCCCGGATCTGGGAACAATTCAGGTCTCCCACTTGGGTGGCAGAGATCCAATGACTGGAGCCATCACTGCTGCTTCCCGGGGTCTACACCAGCAGGAAGCTGGAGCCGGGAATCTCAGCTGCGTGGGACATGGATGTCCCGACCGGCATCTTCATCACTAGGCAGAAACACCCGAGCCCTTCTCGTTACAGCACACTTTTCATCGTTGTCCCAGTTGAACTGCTGATAGAAAGCACACAAGAGCATGCTGGGCACAGAGAGATCACAGCTCAGAACTGGTGCTGCGGCCTCATCCAGGCCCAGGGCTCTGAGCCACAACGTTCCGCGGCTGCTTTATTGGCCAGGAGTCCCTTACAGAAACGTGTGTCCGCCATGTTTTAAGAGGCAAGTACTGGTGTAGTGAATATTAGTGCAATTAGAAGCCCAGCTCCGTATCGCACCTTGGGGCGGATCTCTCAGAATATGGAGCTGCCTGCCATTGCAGTCTGCAAAGCTCCACGGTTCAAGCTGACACAGAAAGTGGCTCCTGGCATGCGGGCGACCATCTGCAGAAATGGGATCTAAGTCACAGGTGAAGGGAACAGTGCTCCCCCAGCATGCTGGAAACACCCAGGGAGCCCTTATGGACCGAGGCATTTGGAAATAAAACCACGGGAATGCTGATTACCTGTGACTGTCTTGAGCAGCAACTGCATTTCAGGGAGTGCTTTATGCAAAATGCGGTCTCTCTTAGCAGGCACGGACTTAAATATTGTGATTTGAACAAATGAAGGCCAGGCATTTTCTACCTTTCTGAAAAGTCTTCCAGTTGGAATCTGAGAGTTGACTTTTTTTTTTTTCTTCCCATTTCTGATTAATTTCCCAGAACAACTCTCCCCCCACATCCCTCCTGCCCCGGTGTTTATCATCCAGGGGTCCCATGATGAAGAAGTATCAGAAAAGCCCAGAATCTAAATCGAGTGAGAGCAGCCAGCTCTCTGATTGGCATCCCCTCCCTGTCCCAGCCCTCTTTGGAGCTGCTGTCAAAAACTGAACTTTAAGTCTACTGTCTTAGCAACATCTCCCCTAAGGGCAGCAAGGTGTGGAGAACAGGGCAGAGGAACCTTGTGGGACCTGGCAGGAACTCTGCCATCATCAGGGAGCCTGGAGTCCCTGAACTCCTCCTAGGAGGCCGGGAGGGTGGGGACACCATTATTGGCCAAGTACAAATGGGTTGCTATTTGCTTTCTCTGTTCGTTATAATGATTGCAGGCTGGCGGTGGTGTTTAGCCACAGGGTCCAGCAGGTCGGTTATGAGAACTTCATCACTGTCATTAACACCTTTTGTTTGCACTGAACACAAAAAGCTGTTCAGTATCCAGAGAGTGCAGGGTAAGAAAAAGAGCAGGGGGAGGCAGCAAAGGAGAGAGGCAGGGAGCAGCCCTTCACCCAGGGTTAATACCAGCAAGAAGAAAATACCCCCCTGGGATAACTGAGTTAGCAGGGTAAGGGCGTTGGTGAGAGGAGTGGATTTTTTTGGATTCTCTGCTCTTTGTGCTAGAAAGGTAATTGCTCACGTTTCTGAGTGCCAGTGATGCCGGCCGGTTCTGGTCCTAGAAACGCTCCTGGGAGGTGTGGTTGTTGGTAAGCGTCTTCCTGCTGGAGTTTAATGCCTGAGTAGCTGGTTTCGCTGCCATGCTCTCATGTAGAGCAAGCGCCGTGACCTTGGTGGAGGATCATCCTGGGTGTTGGGCAGGGTGCACTGCGCAATTTTTTTTTTTTAAATGTGCAGTTTCTCCTCTGTCTTCTCAGCAACCCTGGGGTAAATGGCCCCATTCCCACTTATGAGGGCAGTAAATACAGAAAGGTAAAAGCTGCTTCTACTGTGGCCCGGCACAGGGGTTTGAGCTCAGGGGCCTCGTTTCAAACTTAACTACACCACCTGGTAGGAAAAACAAACACGAAAACGAGAAAAAAAAAATCCCACCAAACATCTTAAATGCACCCTGAGGACCAAGAAAATGTAGGCGGCATATTTGACGAGCTGATCAGTTGACAGTTTGGATAATAGACATTCTGAAAGAAATTGCAGTCGTCAAATCATAAGAATATGTTATGCTTTTTTGGGGGAAGGGGAACTTAACTCTTCCTCTTGGGTGATCCTTGATAAGAGATTGTGTGTTCCTGTTTTTAGGCCCCCCGCCCCCTAAAGAAGTGGGTGGGCGATAGATACTTGGCTCGTGCCTATCTTGGTTGCATGAATATATTTTGTGTCTCCCCTTTTCTGCTTGCTTCTGCCAGAACACGTTCCTCCGCCACGCATTCCTCCGCCTTACTTTTCTCTTGTCCTTTTCTGGACAATTGTAACACGTACTGTGTACTGTGTCTCGGAGCTTGAGAAATGTCTGGTGCAGCCGGCGGGCTGCGGTGGCCAGCATAGCAGGCCGGGTTGGGGGCAGGACAGGCAGGGCAGGGTCCTCCCTCTGCTCAGGCATTATGGCAACCCCCCAAAGCTCGGTGGGCTCTGTGAACCCTGTAAGCTGCAGACAGCATGCATTCGGATTCCTGCGAACTCTGGGCTCTGGGCTCTGGTGCCCTGTGACGAGCTAAAGGGATTTTTTTGGGGGGGAGTCGGCGTGGGTTGCATTAATTCCCCATGTGTCCCTGAATGTCACGCCAGCCGGACAGTCCCGTAGATTCTAAATGTGCACGTGTGCACGCAACTATACAGAAACAAGCGGCAGCTGAAAACCCCGGGGGAGGATTGGAGGGTGTCCTGATGACCACTGACGCCTTGTGTGCAGATTAGGAAACTGGAAATCCCCTCATGCCTGGGGCGTTTGCACTTCCCTAAACTCTCCCTCCTAGTGGGTCTGCTCCGTTGGTTGTCTCTTGAACTGACCACCTGTCACCTGGGTGCCGGGCAGCAGCCACCGCGGGCAGCGGTTCCCAGCCAGGAGCCCGAGGGACACAGGGGACTTTCCTTGTCTCAGCTGGGTGGGCCGGGGTCAGGTGCAAGGCTGCACAGGGCTCAAGGGGACCACCGCGATTTTGAGCCTCACCTGCAGGACAGGTGAGACACCGCACCCCCCTGCGCCGCCCTGGTCTTCTCCCAGGATCCCAGGGACACTGTCCAGTTTGAGAACCGCCTTGTCCCACGCACACGGACCTCCCCAGCCCTTGGGGTGATGGGCGTGGGGCCCAAGGCTCTCCTAGGGTGGGGGTGGGGGGTGCGGAAGAGCGGCCAGGAGCGGGAAGTGGGGGGCCGCGGGGCGAGGAAGAGGAGGAGGGAGAGAGGAAGTCCCTCGTGGTCGCCCCGAGGGGAGGGCGGGCCAGTTCCCGCGGGGACGCGGGCGGTTCGAGTGCGCGCGCTCTGCCGACCCTCGCGGAAGGGGCGCGTGCGCGCGGCGGGCGGCGACCCCAGCGGCCTCGGCGGCCGCGCGCAAGTAGGGGGTGCGCTGGTGTCGCGCGCGCGCTGAGGGGGGCGCTGTTGGGCGGAGGCGCGCGCTGAGGGGGGGCGCTGCTGCCCCGGGGCGCCCCCCCCCACCCCCACGTCGGGCCGCGACGGGCGAGCGGCGGCGGCGGGAGCGCGTCCCGTCCCGCTCCTGAGGAGCCGCCGCCGCCGCCGCTCGCCAACATGGCGGACCTGGAGGCCGTGCTGGCCGATGTGAGCTACCTGATGGCCATGGAGAAGAGCAAGGCCACGCCGGCTGCCCGCGCCAGCAAGAAGATCGTCCTGCCCGAGCCCAGGTACCGGGTCCTCCGGCCCGCGCCGCCGCTGGCGACCCCCAGAGCCCGGGAGGGTCGGGAGCTCAGCCCTGCCTGCCCCGGGAGTGGCGCTGCGGCGCCGGCCTCGCCGTGCCAGCCGCTGAAATGGGGCAGCGGAGGGCTGTTGGGGGCACTCGCGGAGACAGCCCCGAAGTGCGCAGCGCCCCACTGGGGGAGGACTTTGCCGGACCTGCCCGGCCCCGGCGCCCCCTCCTGCTCCATCTCTAGGGTCCTTTCCGATTTGCTGCGTTGTCCAGCTCCATCCCTGTCCCTGCCCTAGGGGTCCTCTGTGCCCCTCCTCGGCTCACCACCCCTGGCGGCTCCACCCTGGTCCTTCCGGGGTTGCTACTGTCCCCTTTCCAACTCCATCCTGCGCCCCCCGCTTCCCTGTAGGCTGCCCAGCTGCGGAGCGCAGGCTTCTCGCCTTTGGTCCCGGGTACTGGAACTGCTGTGTGCAGCGCCTGCTCCCCCTGGGGCCCCCGCAGCCCGGTGGGCGTCCTCGGGCCGAGAGGGTGTTGACCCGCGCGGCGTCCTGGTGGGCGCCAAGTGTGTTAGCGGAGCTGCGCTGCTCGGCCCGCGCGTCTCCCAGTGCCACTTTGTTAAAAGGTGGAGGTGGGATTTGCTTAGAAACGCACACCGAGCCCTGATCCCAGGCAGGCTTCGGTGGGTCAGTCGCCAGGGAAGGGATCCGCTTAAATGGTGACGGGCTGTGGCTTTGCTACTGATGAACTAGTCAGAGACCAATGCCCCTGGAAAGACAGCTCGTCAGGTTGTCAGCTTCAGGCAGCACGCCGAAGCTTTGGCAGTGCCCAGTGTCTTTGCTATTGAACACTGCCATGAGTCCAAAGGGTAGGGTGGCCCCTTGCAGCCAGATAGCCCTTGGTGGAATTATTGATTTAAAGAAAGAGGCATCCTCTTTTTGGCACGTTTGAAGCCATGCAATTCTGCAAAATGCTGGGATCTAAACCAAAGCCGTTTTCATTTTGAAATCATTGATCCTGCAAGTGTTAGGCACTCGGGATGGCTAAAATATTAACTTGATCCAAGGAGGGGAGAATCTTCCTTTGGGTGCTAAGTGATGATCGCCGTATCTCGTGTGAGTTCATTTGTGAGCCCCGTGGAACCAGAATGTTCGTCCCTGTGAGTTACTTGCTGTGAGAAGCTGGATAGCTTGCTGGGTGTTTTTGGGTTTGCTTTGCCTCTTGTTGGTTTTGCGGGCTGTGCTGTGGCTCTGATAAGCAGCCCCCAGTGGTGACAATCCGGGAGAAATGCAGATACTTCTGGGCGTCGCGAGTGGAGCACGCGTAGCCCAGAGTTGAACACATCTGAAGCTCATGACAAATCCGTGGTTTCACATTTAGGGCAAATCTACCTCAAGGTGCATTTCATGTAAAAATCTTACTTCCCTAAATGTGACATATCTTTAACTCATGGGCGATTTTTTTGGGGAGGGGTCGTGGGAGGGAGATTTTATAATATTGCTGAAATTAGGAACTTCTGTTGGTTTCTGTCTTGGCATTTTGGACTTACTGTAACTTCTGCTTTTTAAGTGCTCCTCTTGAGAGTGTATTTCTGTGCTTAGCATATTCACTTCCTTGTGTGAATACCTCTGGCTTTCAGTGGTGGTTTTTCTTTGGTAAATGCGTTGGTTTTCTGGGCGCAGTCTCATCTTCCAGGGTACTTCTCTTGACATTTTAGAATTGAGAAGCATCAGGATGAGGTGATGTTAGGGACCAGCCCTGTAATGCTTGTTACTCTGTTGCTGTTTTATTAAACAGGTTCCTGAACTAGGCCACTGAAACCTCCTCCAGGGGTTTTCAGTTTGTGTGTATCTCAGTGTCTTTAGCTTTAGTTTAGTAAGGCAACCGTTTGCATAGCAAGAGTCTGCCCCTTGTGCTGTGTTAGGATTCTGTTATGTCCTCCGGTAAAGCCGTCTTGTAAATTTTTCTCTGCCACTGGATGGCAGGCGGCGCACCTGACTGATTTGGGAGCAAGGTGGTTGGAGGAGTTCTAGTTCCCCTAGGAAAGTTGATTCCAGAGCCGGGGCTTGTGGGGCAGCCGGGGAAAGCTCCAGGCTGCAGTGCCAGCATTTCATATGGGCGCCCAGAAGACGCTCCTGGCTCTGGATCAGCTCAGCTCCAGCTGTTGTGGCCATTTGGGGGAGTGAACCAGGGGATGGAAGACCTCTCTCTGTGTGGCCATTTGGGGCAGTGAACCAGGGGATGGAAGATCTCTCTCCGTGTCTCTACATCTTTCTCTCTAACTCTTTCACATAAAGAAAAACTTTTTTTTTATTTTTTTATTTTTCTAAAGAAAAACTTTTTTAAAAAAGTTAATTCCGAGTTAAAATGCTTCAGTGTAGTGACTCAGAGGCCAGCCCGACTCTACCCTGTTGGTGAAGGGCACAGGTGCAGTGTGTGGTGATGGGAATTTCTGTTTCAACCTCATTTTGAAGTGAGTCATGTGGTCACCTGTCTTTGATATTCTTGGAAAAGATGCTGAGATTTGTTGAGCTGGAAACCTGGACATGGACTTGCCATTGACCTGTCACTATTGGTATTTCATTTCCAGCTAATTGTGTCTGTGCCTCCTTCTTCCAGGGACTGTGCCTTTTCCCCAGGGTTAAGCAGAAAAGCAACAGAACAAAACAATCTCCAGTAATGTAAATGGAACACTGGGCCCGCGGGCCCGTGCCTGTCACCGGAGAACCTCAGAAAATGGAGCATTCTGCCCAAGGGAGACCTTGCTTCTCCGAGACGGCGAGAGGCAAACATTTGGTTATGTTGACACATTATTCAATTAACGACCCAGTGAGTGTAAATCCTGGAAAAGCTGACTATTTGTTCAAATTACATAGCTGTGCTAGTTTACTGAAACATTTGTTGAGCTAACGCAGCTGATAATGGGACCTACGGGGGATAGTGGACTGTGGCCATGGCCTTCCTGTGCAGGCCCAGCTACAACAGGAGTGTTGGGACATGCTTGCCAGTCGTGTTACGATGTGGGAGAAAAGAAACCCCTTTATTAAGGGGTGGGACCTAAAGCACTGGGGAAGGCCCACGCAGGCCTGATCCCCTGGCAGGGAGAAGACCCCTTTCACCTTAGGCTCTGTTACTGTTAACCTTCAAATGGAATGAAACTTAATTGGCTTGATATCACAGAGTGAAAGGGATGAACTAACCGGGACTTGATCTTTCTCCTGGAATCTCATTTCATCTGCTTGGTAGAGTGAAATCTCTCATCCACTGGTTCAGTCTCCAAATGCCTGCAGCAGCCAGGGCTGGGCCAGGCTGAAGTTGGGAGCACTGGACTCCATCCGGGTCCTGGTGTGGATGGCAGGGGCTGAAGTGACTTGAGCAGCCTCCCAGGTCCCTCAGCAGGATGCTGGCTTGGAAATGGAGCAGCCAGGACTTAGCCCAGACGCTCTGACACGGGTGTAGGTGTCCTGAGTGTCAGCTAGATCCCCTGTGCCCCTGTGCCCACCTTGGTGTATGGGACACTGGATCACCCATTGCAAAGCTCATCCTTTCAAAGTATTCCTACAGCGTGATAGGAGGATCTGAAAAGAACATTTTAAAGAGACTGTATAACTTACCAGGAAAGGGCCCTTCTGATACCACTTACTATACTAAGTCATACATAGACGCAGAGCCAGTTCTGCGAGCAGGCGTGGGGATGCTGTGACGAGTGCTCACGGCCACTCTCCAGGAGCCTTGCCATTAGAGAGTGGAGCCGAGAGAGAGGCTTGCTTTAAAGTGCCTTTGCTGAGGATTCTATTTAACCTTGAATAGGTAGTCTTGGGATTACTTCTGTTATTCTGTATTCACAGAGCATATTATGGTTACTGAGTGTTTTTACTTATTAAAATCATATTGTAGCTAGATAATCCCATATGCTGGTTCTTTCTCCAAGGTGCACGCAATGGCCAGGACTGTGCTGTAGCTGGGAGCTGGGGACTCAGGTCAGGTCTCCCACAGGTGTGGCAGGAGCCTAATGACTTGAGCCGCTATCAGCAAACCCTGCCCCCCGCCGTTACCAGCACCCTCCCCCCGCCCCCCGCCCTGCAGCGTCTCCCACGGTCTGCATTAGCAGGAAGCTGGAGTCAGGAGCTGGAGCGGGAACCCAGGCTCTCTGCTGAGGGACACGGACCTGACCTGCAAGGCCAGTGTGTGCCCCTTGCTCAGTACTTGTGATTTTCCTTTGAAGAACTATTCAGACGTCACATGGGTCGTATTACAGCAATTTGCATCTTTCTGTTTGCAGTGCTGCCGCGTGAAACCAATCTCCAAACGTGGGATAATTTTCTTCTTTTAAGGAGATGGAATTGACTCAATAGTTTCCCATTCCGGTCACTGAGTGCTTTGCAGAGTGTTCGAAGCATCCCTGTGTCTGGGTCGTAAGGTGTTCTGTGTTCGTGTCTCGTGTGCTCACGTCCTAGGTGTGAATTGCAGAGTCAATGTTGAAGAACAGCCTCCAGGAAGAAAGTATTCCTTATTACCGTTAGGAGGATTCCTGTATAACACGGTCACTTTTTTTTCATTCAGGTCCAAATTGCAGATGTGATTTGTTTTGGCCTCTCGGTGACTCCTTCACTCATGGTCAGAGCTGATTTGTGCCAGTGGCCTGTGGATGCACGGGCTGCCTGGAGCCGCCGCTGCTTAGAAGCGGATGTTCAGTGCAGTCGGGGTTGGGCCCAGAATGTGTCCATGGTGAGGGTTGTGAAAGGCTTTGAATCAAGAGCTCCTAGATCTCTTTGAGGTACAGGCAGTCCCAGCATGATGCAATCCGTTCTTAGAGGCAGCCTCTTAAAGTGCTTCCCTAGTATACTGAACTTGGCCTTGCCAAATATCTGTTAGGGAAAGTATGGGACACAGGTGTCCAGGCTCGGAGGAGGAAGAGCAGGGCTTTTTATGTCAGTGGGTAGAAGCGGAGAAGCGAGGGGTGGGGCTGTGGAGCACAGGACACCTGGGCCCCCCTAGGTC